TTCTAAAGTTTTCCTGCTGGACACGAGATGTCTCCTATTTCACTGTAAAGTCCATTCTCAGTGGATGAGCACTAGTGGAGGTTGACCTGGGGCCACTGACTTCAAACCTTGATGCCCATTCCAGGAATCTTAGTCATCTATGACTCAGCACTGAAATTGACAAATAGATCAACTCCATGGTGAAAGGATAGCTTTTTTTAGCTGAGGATCATTGCAAAACTAGAATCCATCCTCTCTCTCAATCATTTAAAGACTTGCCATCGCATTAATCTCCACAAGACCTGATTAGTGCAACTTTTACTCTGGTGTTGGACAATCGTCTTCGTCTCCCCTGCAGTTTGTGCAGAATGCTGCAGCAAGACCTCTTCCTTGGACCAGGAAGGGACAGAATTACACCAGCACTTGCATCCCTGCACTGGCTACCTGCCAAATACAGGATTTTACAACAGTTATAAGTATAGCCTACTACTCACTCATTGTCGTCTTAATGGGAAGAATGGTGCTATTTCTGCTGAGACATCAGTGAAGCAATGTCTGGCTCCAGACCGGAGACTTTTAGTCTCATGTCAGGGTTCACATTAATCTGGTTGCGCTGCTTTGTTTTCAGACCAACAAGTGTGTAAAATCCAACTTCACAGTTGTAGGTGGTTGGAAATGGCATTAAAAGTTTCAGAGCAGTCAGCCAACTCAGGGTGTTCAGGGTGCTCATGTCGGATGTGGACTGTAAAACTTCACTCTAAAGGTTTGTTTCAAGTGCCCCATTAGATGCAATGTCAACAAGGCTATCAACCTGTCTCGGTGGAAGCTTGGAACTGACCTGTTTGATGTGTGTTTTGTCTCCAAATGGATTTCTGCTCCACTTAAAGCCTGGTTTCTAGCTCTGGAAAATACCCTCCCAACTGAGAATGAAGGCCCTGCAAATGTTCCTTGCAGGCTGCAACTGTGTCGCCATCCAGCTCCTCTTCGGCAGTGAGGAGAAAATCCGCCAATGTTGGAAAACAATCAAACTCCTGGTAATTGAGACGGGTACACCACAATTCCATCTTGAGTGCGGCATAATTTTGTCCTGGACATTGAAGACAGTGACTGCTTTTCCTTGCAGTGTTGAGAGTGTTGAAAACATCAGCAAGGTATGCCAATTTTGCCAGCCACTGGAAACCATGCAGTCTGTCATACAGTTCACCAGTATGATGCAGGAATAACTTGACCTCATCGCGCAGTTCAAATAGATGCATGAAAACTCGTCAGACAGCGAACGTCAGCATGATGTATGTTTTGTGTGTTCGCTTCCCATTTCTTCACACGGAGCTTTAAAAAGACATGTTCAGGGATTTGCTTTTGATTTTATTCACCAATTTAACAGATTTGTCCACTACTCCTTCGAGGCACAGGTTTTTTTTTTTAACAGCTAGTTGTTCTCTGTGAGTGCAACAGTGTGTTGCTACTGCCCGCACACGAGTTGCAAGTCAATTCTGTTTTCCAGTCATTGCAGTCTGTGCAAATGCCAACTATGAGGGCTTTTTCACCATGTTTCTTAAGTTCATTGAGTTTTCCCTCAATAAGTCCTGTAGGATTCCCCATGTAATCCTTGTGTTTAGTTTCTAAATGGCGCCTGAGCTTAGCAGGTTTCATAGCCTTGTTAGCCAACGATTCATAGCACACAAAAAAATGTGGTTTTGGATCCTCAGCATCTTCAGTTAAAAAAAAAACCAAAATTGATGTAGTCGCTGTACTATTTCCATTTTACTTTAGCGCCAGATTTTCACGTTCTTGCTGAGTTTCACTTTGAGGGATTTTGTTTGACGGCGAACCATCTTCCCAGGACTCAATGCTAGCTGAAGCACTTGTTGCTGTTGAACCACTCCCATCAAGGCGATGCATCTTGCCTGTTGTGTCAGACATTTCATTTGATTTTCTTTTGATTGACCCTGTCTTAAGCCACCGACCCATGATTTTTACAATCAGATAGTCAATGGTTAGAATGCACTGATCATTTTTGGTCTGAATCCTAAAACAGCGGTGTAGCAGTGTCGTAAAACGGTTGCAAAGGGCCAGCTACATTGCTGAAGTCCAACACCCCTAAACAGCCAATTTTATTAATAATGTTTGAATTTACTTATTAACTGGCTTAATTACATACATGTTACTCCCAAATAAGATTTGTAGTTATAGTTGTAGTGTTGTTTGTAGACAGTTTGTATAACACTTTAAATTTAAAACGAAAAAAATTATATTTTCCAATTAAGTCGTGGTCCGCGGACCACTCTTTAAGAATGACTGTCTTAGTGTGTTTTAGTATTTTTAATCTTTTATTATATATTGTTCTTAGTAAGTCTGTAAGTCTCTCTGTTTTTTACATTTGTGCACATATTTGTTGTTGCTTTATATTTATATATAGTTTCTTTCATTGTCATTTATTGGTGTTGCCATGCACTTTATTTTGCCAACTCTTGTGGTTTAAAATGTGCTATATAAATAAACTTCTGATGTCACAAATCACACTCGTAGGCCCCGGCCCTTAAAATCTGATTTTCAATGAGCTCAGAGAAACTTTCCACTTTCAGCAGATGACTCTAAAAAACATCCTTCTACTGTCACACTCTGCACATACAGCATTCAAACAGCACACTGTAGGAACAAGAAGAAACACTGATTTCTGAGTGGAGTGGTCAGTTTGGCATAGGCAGCAGAGTCTACATAGTTTTTTATGTTTTGGAAATGTATGATGAGTTGATGAAAAGATAGCACGGCTTTCACAACACCCACACAATATGAAAAAGTTGAAACATTCCAATTTACAGCAGGAAGGACTGAAAACATGTTAGTGGGATTCCATCACATCTGCAAATAGAATAATTCTGGTTAGTTTAATGATTCATGCCGACATAAAAAATGTATGTGATTTAAACACAGACACTTTATAGGAGCTCAACAGATGCTTCATATGTCTGTAAAATGTTCAAATGTTATAGAATCTTTCTTCTTATATGTTTCAGTATATTGAAGAATTCATAATGGATGGTGGAATGAATGATGGGTAGTTTTTCAGAGTTGAAGCTGGTGCTTTAGGTGGGGCATTGTGGGTAGACAGAATTATATCGTTATTATACAGCGCTGAGGAGTTACTGCAGTCAGCACATAGCTTTATAATACAAAGCTCCTCAAGCTCTTTTCACTAAGAATATTTGGACTCCACTCAAAGTGGAGGACCGTTCTGATAGATATCAGCCCTTATCCTTTGCTACAGGAAGCACTTAGTTGCATTGATTAGTGGGCAAAAGTAGTTGATGGCCAAACATTTTTTATACAACAAATGATGATGATTTGGTTGGGTTAGATTGTTTGATGTCTGTCCTGAAGAGTTTGAGTTTGAATTATTACATTCTTATATATTAGATTCTGCATGCAGATGTCTTTCCCATTAGTTCATTAACACTGCAAACTCAAGATGTCAGTGTCAGCCAAATGCTTCACTCACTTACCTGTTGATGTTCAGCTCATATATTTCAGTATCATTCAAGGCCAGCAACTCTAACAAAATAACTGGACAACTGTTAACTATTAAACACTTGAAACAATGAAGTCTTCCATGTTTAACCCAAGCTGCCATCTGTTGCATACCAGTCCAACCACAGCAGGATGACTAAAGCATGACTCATACTTCCACAATAGGAGAGACAAACCTGCAAATAATCAACATTTCAAGTAGAGCTTTCTAGAAATACAGTATGTGGCCATTCGTTTTTACACTCTGTTGTTTAGTCTGATACCTCAGTGGTTGATGCACAAACACTGGACTGACCTGGAAAGTCCTATTTGGTAATAATAATAATAAACTTTATTATATAACATCTTTCATTCACAAAATGCAGCTCAAAGTGTTAAAATTGTGAAATGATGAAAAGAAATCAATCAGTCAGAGGCAGGACGAGCAGAAAATCTAAACAGATAAAACTTTAGTAACACTTTAACCTTACCTCAGAAACACTATACAACAGGCAGATTTAAGTATATCTATTATCATTACTGTTTGACAGTGTCATACAATGTAATAGGAAAAGTGTAAAAAGAGAAAAGGCGTAAATCACTCACTGCTAAAGTGCTTGGAACACACTTTTGACAGTAAACGTTACATTGCAAGCTTGATTGCATCCTGTGTGTTTAACTTCCAGGCTTAAATAAATGTGTTCACATGTGTGTTGATATTCCAGAATCAATAATTAAACTTTCCTATAACTGTCAAACAGATAACAGTCACTTGACAATGATTTTGGAGTCAGTATTCTGGGCCTTATTTTATTGTTTTTATACATGCTCCCTCTATATATCTCTCTCTCTCTATCTCTCTCTGCCCAGATTACCCCAGTTCTTTTAATAGTCTTATAAGCTCATCATATTATCATGTTTATTTTAATTAAATTATCAAAAAACTGAGATTTCACTTAAATCAAAAGTATTGGGTCAGAAGCTGCTGCCTAGATTACTGCACTGCTGTTTTACCAGACTATAAAAAATATGGGTTTAAAAAATTAGTTATTTTAAAATGCTGTAGCCAGAATCTTGATTTGTTTTTCCCACTTTGACATAACCCTACATTTTGCTAGCAGCTTACTGTATTTGTGATGATTACCTTTCATTTTATAAGGTTCAATAGACAAACATGATACAAACATTATAAAGGATAAAGAATAAAGATGAAAGATAAAAGTGCTCCAGACTCAAAAATTCAGGACTTAAAAAGAGAGAATAATTGACCACTAGAAAAATATGGTAAAAATAAAGGAAATTGGTCCCCGGTTAGCTCAGTTGGTAGAGCTGGTGACCCATGTAATGAGGCTGAGTCCTTGCTGCAGCAGCCCATGGTTCGAATCCGACCTGCGGCCCTTTGCTGCATGCCATCCTCTCTCTCTGCCCCCCTTTCCTGGCTGTAACTATCAAATAAAGGCAATAAAAGGCCCAAAAAAATGAAGGTAAACAAAATTTGTGTGTTAATATGAATGATAGCTGCTGGATTAAAGCTATGCTTTTACCGCTTCGTTCTACATTGTGGGAATATAAACCTCGTCTAGGAAGAAGAAGCTGAAATTCACTGTACAAAGATTGGGAGTCATCACTTAAGGCTGAGCTGGTTATCTGCTGGACAGGGATTCTGGGTTAAGCTGCGACTCACCAATGAGCCTAGACGATTTAACAATTTGAAAGAGGGAGTTTCTGTTCTGTAGAGAGAGGATTCCAAACCATAACACCAAAGAAAAAGATACATTTGATTTAACAAAAGCACGATCAAACAAGGTCATCATGATTTTGTCAGGGTGGAAACAGGACAGTTTCCTCAAACAAAACAAAAGCTGGTGTCCGTTTTTGCACACAGCTTTACAGTTTTCTCTAAAGTTCAGTTTTCACTCAATAGTTATCCCAAGATATTTGTAAGGTTGCACACATTCCACTGTCTGACTCCATGTGTGTGGGCATGTTTTCTAAAATCAATTATTATGTCTTTAGATTTACATATGGAGTCCTCACACTATTTGACAAAGTCATCAATAACCAGGCCGTGGCTGGTCTCATTGTCCTTAAGTTGAGTCAAAGTCATATTCCAACTCAGATTGTCCATTACCTTTCTCTTAAATGCTGCTCTCTGTTTTTATGAACTGTAGGATACATTCCCTCGCTTTGTATTTGAATTATCAACATTTTATTTGTTATTGTTTGCTTTATTCTACTTATCTGCTTAACATTATTTTTAATCCTGTTTTGTGAGGCATTTAAGACTGCAGCTCTGCATGAAAGTATTATTACAGCTGCACAGAAGAGTGAAGCAGACTGATTGAAAGCAAGCAGCAGCACCACTCAGCTTATAAATCATACTCTTTTTCTGTCTTTGATCAGGAGATTCTCAGGTTTCTTTTGGTGTTTCACTGTTTAGGAACAAAATATTACAAATTGTGACTTATGACCAGCATCCTAACAACTACACTGATACTGTGGGTATTTGACTCAGGGGGTCAGACTTTGTTTTATGGTGCTAAACAGAAAAGAGTTTACAAATAATAAATGCAATTCTGTGTGAACATGTGTAGGCCTGCTGACCCTCAGGGAGAGTTCCTGCTGCTCAAACTTACAGACAGCACATAAATCCACAAGTGTTTTTACCACAAACTAAATGAGTCTACTTTCAAGGGATTCAGTGTTTCACTCTGATTTTGGTACAATGATAGTGTCTATGTTTTTAGAGGGCTACACAAAACTACACACAGCAGCTGGATACTAGACATTGGATGATATGAACATTTCTTGTAAAGATTATCCTGGCCAAAACAGTTGCAGTTAATAATATTATCCCGATTATCAAGATATACTTAAGACTCTTAAAATGGTCCTAAAACATCCTTGAATCACTTTACCTTATATTTTGTTAATTAACAAATACTTTTATTGCATCACAGATAGGATACATCTCCCTGTCGTTCTTTAGTTGAATCTTTAGTATTTCACACATCCAGTTTAATGTTTTTGTGGGAGATACAATGGACAACAGAACCTTCAGCCATGGTGATAGGCTTACCCCAAAATTCTGGCCTGGTGCAACAATGTTAGTAGTGTAAAATTCATTTTTGATGATGACATTTATTTGTGGTTATAGATAACGACATTATGTACATGTTAGGTCACATTAAATCTAAGAATATGTGTATCATATCAGTGTATTCAGATGCGATGAGTTATAACTTCAAGAAAGGAGTGCAACTTCTGACACAAACTACTGACCGTGTTGGTGAGCGGCTAAATCAGCAGCCAAACTACAATAAGTACTGCAATCCCTTGCTCTAAATGGAAATCCCTTCAGTGTACTATATTACTTGCAGAAATAGAAAAAAATATTAAAGTAAAAAACTTTACAGATTTATTCACATATGAAATACAAATTCTGACTGAAAAAAGTGAATATAAAGGCAAACAGATCAGTATATGTTGAAAGTACATAAAAATAGATAAAACATTGTTGTCAGGATATGTTAACACTGTTTAAAATCACACCTGACAGCGGCCAAGCTACACTAGACTGCTATTTTTGCACACACACCACAGTGTATTTTACAAGTCAATGCAATAATCAGTGTCCTGCACTGATTAGAAATAGCAAAACCTTGAATACAAATGCACAAATATAATATTGAAAAAAATATACAGTAAGTCAAACATGGTGAAGCTCTGTTTCATTTCTCTTGGTACGACTGAAACACAAGATTAATATCAAGCTATATTATATTGTCAGCCAAATGTAATATGTTTGTAATTTTCAGAAAATTATACAGTCTCAGCTTTTCTGATAAAGCCACAGTAACAATCAGAGAAATGAAACAAAGCTCCTTAACAGATAATGAGGACTTGTATATGGCTCCATAAAAACATACCTATTGAGTACACTGAATAGTAAAAAGAGCAGATCTTTTGAATGTATGTAATATATGAGGTACTGGTTTACCTTGCCTACAAAACCTTAAATAGCACCTTACATATTCAAAGATGTAGCACGCTTCATTCATTCTGGATATACTGCTGTGAATTGGAAAAATCAGTATGACCAAATTGAACTGAAGTTTGTTTTCAGTACCAACATAAACTGGTAACGTACAGCTTAAAAAAAGCAACGCAACTCTTTACCACAGTCAGTGCCAAGACAACTATTTAACTAGCGTCATGCTAAATACTAGACTGGAAGGCTTTTGTGAATAATTACATTTTTGCAATGCTGCCCTAGTAAGCCCCTCTCGGTTTTTGCTTGTATCATTTCTGCAGAGTTTAATGGTCTGTGGTTGAGGTGGCTACATAAGCCTGCACGATAACCTAATGACTAAAATCAAAGGAGACTGAGGAAGCGGTCAAAGCCCAAATAAGATGGGTTTTGGAAATAATAATAAAGACCAAGATTTGTAGATATGTAAGGCAGAGCAGAAGTCCTGGTCAAGTCATGGCAAGAATGTATGACTTTCTAATAGCCTAATATGACACAATGACTATTTTAACAGAGAAAAATATCATGTCTGAACCTGGAATTACAGTTTGAAAATCACAGTTACTAATCCCTGTAATGTTCTGTACTTTGACATTTTAGGGGTCAACTTGTTTGCTTGAGTTAGCGAGAGGGTTAATACCAGTTTGTGCATTCTGTGGACAAACTGGTCCAGATTGTATTAAACTGGGCATACACTATACGACTGTAAAAATGTTGTTTCATTGTACCTCCTACTGTATGAGTAAATCGTCTGCAATGTAAAGCCAAAGCTCACGGTCGATGTGGACCATCTTGGCTATTGACAATTTTCAAAAAAGTTTCTTTTGAAAGGTGCTAACTTTCTTTCTGCCCAGACCGGTTAGGACGGTTAGCCTTCATCAAAAGAGGAGAAATTGAAGTCCTCGTTACTCTCACGTTGTTTTATTTATATACAATATTTATATTTGACAAGGAACTTGGTCTACACTGGTCTTCTTTACTTACTTAATTACACACGGGCACACAAGCAGATACATGCCAACAATGCCAGGATGACAAATTTCTGGAGTATATATGGATCTCATTTCTCAGTATTCAAACCTACAGGAGGAGGCAGGCTTTTTGCCCTCCCTTCGGGTGTGGTCATTCAGAGCAAATAACAAATAATCAGGTTTGCATTTAGACATGGTCAGACATGTTGTGTGGTGTAGTTCCTTGACGCATACCTTAATACATGCCCCAACTTTGCTGGTAAGCAAGGTGTTGTTTGATTTGTGTGTTTTTTCTTAACTCAAGACAAAGAAGGTTATATGTACGAAATTCACTTGCCACTAGAGCACCAGTATCTCAGACCAAAACAAATCTAATCCACCAGACGTCATTGACAAAACCAGTAATTTAAATTGTAAAACACACTTGAAACTGGACAGAAACAAAAAAAATATCACCAATATCAACTTTCTTTGTCTCAACCCTGTTTTGGTCTAAATAAACCCTTAATTCAGTTATTTGTAAAAATATTCACGAAAAGGGCTGCTTGGGGACAAATCTCATCAAAGTATGTTTACCAAAAGTGGTTCTTGCCACTGACAGGCTCAGATTGTTATTCTAGTGTCAGCATTATGGAAAGGATACCTACGGAGATAAACCATTTGTTTAAACAGAAACAGCCATACTATCACTATCTCTCGCCACCAGACTCCACAGACAAAAATGGTAATTTTACCTTGCAAATAGTGTAACATCGTAACTTCATTTAAAGTGGACAAAAACAAAATAAAACTGTCTTTGTTAGTTGTTAGAAATAAAACCTTAATTCACCAACGTAGATGATAAAAACAGCAGTTTCAGTTGCTCTACTCAGCTGCACACAGAGGGACTCACATGTACTAATATGCACTCCTGGCCAGACCAGATTTGTAAACAAAACACAGACAGGCTTTGATAGCAACACAGGCAAACTCATTTCGTCATTCTCTGCTCAGGACACCATGACTCCATTATATCTTTACATAGCAAATCGTTGTTTTGTGCCATATTAGTGTTTTAAATCTCCTAACCTTTAAAGAGTACTTGCACTAGTACAGCATTTCACATTGTACTATTGGGCATCCCACAGACTTTGTGCAGCAATACTGTTTGTCCAAGCTCTCGTGTGGTATTACTGTTTAAATGTGGACAAATTCAAGCAACTTGGGCAGTGGGTTTTGGGACCAAAGCCTAGGGGTGGAAGTTGACTGTTACTGCAAACTTACAGTCATAGTCAAATTTTGAAACCAGTGACATGTATTTTCAAATTCAAGTCCATTGTTTTCCAAAAATAATATGGTTGCAGCAGGCACTGACTTTGGCAAGCATTTGTTGTTATATTTATGGGTTTTGAGTCATCTTAATAAAATACACCAGCCTTAAAGGCAGAATGAGTAGGATTTGATTTGTCAGTTACTGTTTTAAAAACACTATTCAAAGTTGGCCCCTCCTCCCCAGCTCAATGAGAGAGAGAGAGAGAGAGAGAGAAAGAGAGAGAGCAGCAGTGGTCAAACGAGTTAGAGAGTGAACGAAGAGAGGGTGTGGCGTTAGTGAAAATAAAGCAGTGAAGAAACAAAAAAATTATTTTCTGGTTGTTTCATGGGAGTTACGTTTTAAAGCACAACACGGCCCCACCTCCGCACAACCCTGCAGGAAGGAGCCACTGATTTTGTGTGAATGAATCTATACATTGTTTAAAGGGAAATCCTACTCATTTTTCCTTTAACTATATTTCCAAAATAGCCAAAATGTTCTATATGGGGAATTAATCTGAAAAATAAACCCATTGCTTTTTTTAGCAAGTTTAACATATGTGTATGCAGGATCTTATTTGTGCAGGAGGGCAGAGCAGCCAAAGAAATCCATGCCAATGCTGCGGGGGTAGCCTTCTAGCACCTTCAACGCAACAGGGTCAAACTTCCAATAGTGCGGTCCACTCAGAAAATTGGCGTAGCCTGTCAGAGGGGAAGAAAAAGCAAAAGTCAACTATGAATTTTTGAAAGTCAAAATATAGTTTTTTCCTGATCCCAGTCCTCACCATATTTGTCCCGAAAGGCTGCATCAATATCACTGGGCACTCCTTCCCATTTGTGCATGCTGCGAGGATGGGCATCATCAACTCGATTCTCTTGAGGATTGAAAAGCCAGTAAGAAGCGGACTTGAAGAGGTAGACTTTTTCAACATGGTCCTCTTCCCACTTCAAAGCTGCTTGGATATCTGTCACAGGGAGACCCAGCTGCCGCACTGAATCTGGACCTGTAATCTTCCTCTCAGCATCAAACACCCAGTAGCTGTCACCTGACATGTTAAAAAAATAAAATAAAACCTAAAATTTGGTCCTTGTATGTCATGGACTACAGTCAATATTGGTTTTACCAATTTACAAATAATTTAGGACTCTTCTTCTCCATGGAAAAGATTTTTCTGCTCTTCTCCAGACTGGCATCAGTAAGAGTTTGACTATGTTATATGGCTTGTTGAGCCGACTGATTGATGTTCACCCGTGATAGACAGATGGTTGCCTGGTTGGTTACCTGCCAAGTACCTGCCCTTTTCCAAACAGTTTCCAACAACAATTTCTCAGATGGTTGTGTGTAGCAAACCATCTGGTGCAGCCAGGTTAGCAGCTTGTTTGTTTGGGAAAATGTAACACTGTCTTAGGTAACAAGATTGGCTGAGTGTAAACTTCCCTAAAACCAATGGATAGCTGCTTTATTTTTTTAATCTTTAACTGAGAGTTTTAACACTTTCGGTCATTACACTGTCAACATCTCAACTCTTTCATACTCTTACTCTTTTTTGACTCTGAATGACTAACCTTGGAAGAGCCAGATGTTGCCAGACTTGTCTTCATAAGCAGCATCGATGCGGTCGGGAATGCCCCTCCAGTGTCGCGAAGCCAAGGCTGGATAGCCAGCTTGTAGCTGCCCATCACGGATACGCCAAACGTATCGGGACTTAAAGAAGAATAGCTCTCCCCTGATCATGGACACAGCTTCAAAGTTTGTTCTGCAGGCATCCGGCTGGGGCACAATGACATAGCAGGGGTATTTTTATCTGTGGACTAATATACGAAGTTACAAAATACAAGACTGGTAAACTCTTGAAGTACAGTACATGTAGCTTTGAAGTCTATTCCCAGTATAACTGTCTCACCATTCCAATGTCTATCTCATTGGTCTCTGTCATCTCGGGCGGTGAATGCTGAGGAGGACCATACAGATACTGGATGCCCCTTTTGTCGTCCTCGCTCAGTTGCAGAGGGTAGGAGTCACTGTAGAAAGGACACATCAAAGCATCAGGCTCCAGGGAGTGCTGCAGGCCCAGGACATGGCCAAACTCATGAGCTGCCACTTGTAAGAGATCAGTGCCTAAATGGGACAGCAAAGAATAAAGGGACAATAATACTAAAATTAGTTGAATGCGTTACTCTTTAGTGGAATCAAATGAGGAACACAAATGAGATGTAGTTTTAAAGAAAACCTCTTTTAAAACCAGGTTTTGTTCAGAACAAGAAGACCTCCATTTACTTCAAAGTATTTCAGATGCACTCACCAGAAGAGGGACCGAGTCATTGTTTGCACTCAAGTCCCAAGTCAAGTCCTAAGTCCAAAACAAAAAGTTTTGAGTCCTAAATTCAATTCAATTTCAAACCTCGGACAGACCCTGGCTCTAGCCCGGAAGTAGGAAAAATGGCCAGCGTGAGGGTTTGAGCTACTTTTACTGGGCCAGATCATCTCCAAGACTGTGGCTCTTCTGGGGTGTTCTAGGTCTGCAGTGGTCAGTACCTATTAAAAGAGGTCCAAGGAAGGAAAAGAACCGG